AAAAAAAAAAAAAAAAAAAAAAAGGCAGCGTGTCGAGGAGCGGAGGGCGGTGCCTCCTCTGAGGGTTGCAGCCTTTCGTCAGGGCACAAGTGCTGACACGAGCGGTGCTTGGCTCCTGGGAAACACTGACGTCAGTCTAGAGCAGGGGTTCTCAACCTTTCTTTCACCACGGACCCCCCCCTTGGAATACCTTTTGTGGCCACGGACCACCAAGACTTAATTCAAGATTTAAAACACCGGACTGCATCAAATATTTGTTTCAATTTTCTCATGAAGGGTCTTCAAATTTGGAGAGAAGGGGAAATTATCTGTTAATGCACACACTCAGCATTGTTGCTTTGATTCCATGTGCATCTACGATAATAGCATCAACACTCTTCTTGCTCAAATGGCCCGTTTTATGGCATTTTAACATGCTAATTCCAAATTTGATGCTAATTTTTACATTCAAATTTCATGAAAAGTTTTTACAATTCTTCTCACCTGCCCCCTCATCTGTCTGTGTTAAGTCACCATATAATTTTCTTTACAGGTCCAGGGCCACCACTTGGAGGAACAGACTTCAGCCCTGTTGTGGCCATAAAGAGGTCTGTTGTGTTAGAGAAAACATCTTTAAGAGAAAAACCACCTAGATAAAGTGGGTCCCATCAACCATACTAGCATCAAATATACTAGTGAGTCAGGGCAGGCGGGGGGGATGTGCTTGAGTATGAAAGGAGCATGGAGGGGAGGGGGAAAAGTAAGCACAGTGCTTGCCATGGGCCAGATCAAATGTTTCCGGGCTGGACATCATCTCTGTGTTCCTCACCCCTGCTTTAAGCCTTTGTGGACCCCCTGTGTCGACATCATGGACCCCCAGGGGTCTGTGGACCACAGGTTGAGAACCACTGGTCTAGACAACTAGAAACACTGCGAGCATCTTTAGTAGTTCCCCTCCTGGAGGGAGACAGCCAAGACCAGAAACAGTCCTCAGAAACAGTTCCTATCAGCTTTCCCAGTTGAGGAGACTGTCATGGAAGCTTAAGTTTCCATTTATCTCATTTATTTGTGTTTTGGAAAGCTGCTTTGTTCTACTGCATGCTGCTGCACTACTGCCTGTCCCAGAGTGCAAGAGTGTAAAATGGGGCTGTCGTAGCCATCCTTTCCTTCTGTTGGGCTGGTAGGATTTCATTTTGGAGTACGGGGTTACCAATTCCACCTCCCACTACACGGGACACAGGAAATGTGATATGAGGTTTTGGGATATTTGAATGGGGTATTTCTGCAGACTTTAGCAGCCAGGATACCAGCCTGTTGAAGGTTTGTGCTAGGATATGCAAGTGAGCAGAGGATGGGAACACTTCATGGGAGTCCTGAATAAAAAGATGCTTCTTCATTTAAAAAAAAAAAAAAAAAAAAAAAAAAAAAAAAAAAAAAAAAAAAAAAAAAAGGTACCAGCCCAACAGGATGTGCCATTATATGTTGCTTTGCTTTGTGGTGGACACTGAAAAGGTAGTAACATCCTTCACAGACTCAAAGCTTGCCCCTGGGATTTGTGTTGGCGATCTCTTAGGTTGGAAATTTGTACTGAGAATGTCAGATTTTATTTCGAAAGTTTATTAAGTGTGTGGTTTCCTACAGCAGCAGAACCACAACAATCACTGGACTGACTCTTTTTTCTGACTCCACAGTGCTGTCCTTTTCTCTATTCTCCCTGATTGGGGGTAAAACTACTGCCTAGGCCTTTCCAGACCTGGTTTTGCCTACTCAGGGCACTATTGGGTGTGGCTCTCCATGCTCTTTCCCCTGCCTGTACCATGCCAAAAGGATCCCTTTTTTCCTCTGGTGGCAGCACCAGAGGAGCTAGGATGTCTGTGGATGAGAAGCAGTGCCACGAGGGCCTGGTAGCTTTTGGCTTTGGCTTTTTCTTCCAACTGATCTCCATTGTGCTTGTGTCCATGTGCCCCTGTGTCAGGCAGAGGCAGCTGGTGTATGTGCCCTATGCTGCTTTGGGGAGATGCAGGTGCTGCTGCTGGCTCAGCAGAGGGAAAGCAGGAAAGCCTTCTTATCCAAGGCACCTTGTTTTGAAACCTGCTGATTGGCAGGATAAAACAATAGAGAAACCAAGACTACCTTCAAAACCCAGTTTCCAAATGCCCAAGCTCAGCTCAGCATTGCACATCTTTTGCAGAAGCTGGTGCAAGCAAAGGAAGGAAACAACCCACCCAGAAAATAAATTCCTTAGAGCTGCTTTCTATGGGTGAGTGTGGGTGGATAAACCCTTTGTGAACTATGAAGAGAGGTGCCTACATGCCCCCTGTCCTCAGATCCTGCCTGTGGCCATTTGCATCCTGGTGTGCTTACAGTCAACTACAAGCTTAGGCAGACAGCAGTTTGAAGTTCAAAATGTTGCTGTGGGATTGTTGTATGAATGCCTAAAATAACTGGACAATAATATAATTTATGTGATCTGTGCTTAATTCTTAGAGTGCGCTAGTTACTATCAGGACAGCATATAATACAAATCATACAGAGGAATGTCGGTCCTCTGGGGAAAAAAAAAAAACCCACACACACCCAGAAAACACACCCTTATTAGTTTTTTTGTTTTGTTTTTGTTTTGTTTTGTTTTGTTTTAATAAATTATGGAGTGTCTCATTGTTTAACTCAACAGTATTACAGCTGTCACACACACAGTCATTCAACTATGGGGGCCTTTTCTTCTCATATGCCTTCACTACCACCCACCTTCCTCACAGACATAAATGCAACAAACTTCTCTCCTTTGAGCTGCCAGAGATTAAAAGTGGCTGTTGAAAATACGCAAGTCAACTGTGGGGAAGTTAGAGATTAAACAAACTCTGTGCTTCAGCAGATTGCTGTATGTCATGTCATACCCAGGAGTCACTTGATAGGACAGTGAACAAGTAGATGGCTCTTGACAAATGCAGGGGGGAACCAGGAAGCACTTTTAAAGACACATCCTTACCCTTCAGGAACATGGTTTTGTTTGATCCTTAAAGTCAGATAATGTGGCTCAAGGAAGGACAGAGTAGAAGTGCAGTGAAGGCTTCAAAAGTCAGTCTGTAGACAGTTTCTCTTGCAAAAGCTCTGGAGACATTGATGAATGCTCATGCCACCCATGGACAATAAGAATGAATTGCTATACTCCTTTGATGTGCAGAAAGACATGGGGAAAGAAAGTTGGCAAGTCTAAATTTAGGTGCCCTCAAGTGAATTAATCAGCACCACTGAGTTGTAGGTGAATAGAAAGGGCTGTATTATTCAAGAGCCTACACATGCCACGACCCTCACAAACATCCAGGTGGGAATTCAATGAAAATTTGACCTCTTTTAATCATCTTTAAAGCTTCTGTGACAGAACACATCTGTCTTTTTTTCCTCTGCTTGTGCTGATTTCTGTCATCTGTTCGGTGAGAGCAACATTCACCAGCAGAGGGGAAGGGCTTCGCCTGGAGCCAGTGGTGAACTTCAGTGTGTTCAGGTCTGGAAGGCTGAACAAATTCAGTTTCCAGTTCTCTCCAAGCTGCTGGGAAAAGTGGGAAGCAGGATGGGAAAGGTAGGCAGCAGTGATCCCTGGCAGGACATCCAGTTAGCTAGGGCTTAAGTCATGGTTTCCCTGTGGAGGAGTGAGCCAGAGTGGTAGCGCATGATCCCAGTGTGATGCTCCTACAGCTCCATGTTTGCCTCTGCCAGTGGCTTTCCAGCTGATATTTCCTGTCAGCAGGTGAAGGCAAGCAAACCTGCTGGGCTCTGGAGACATGGATCTGCTTTCCAGGGCTTGCTTTTGTCTTTTTTGCTTCGTGAGACAGTGTGTGTTGGTGACTGGAGGAAAAACCATTGAGTGGTGAGACCTGAGGTGGGCTGGGGGTCTGCAGCTGGACATCCTGAGGGTGATATTACAAAGTGTTCACCTATGGAAAGCCAGCTCTTGTGGGCTTTGGGCTCTGGTGCACAGTAGTCACTCATGTTCCATTTCCCCGTAGGCATGTGTTTGAGAGTGAGAAAACCCAAACATGAGGGGAATACAAGAGGAAGAAAAAAGGAAAAGGAAAAGGAAAAGGAAAAGGAAAAGGAAAAGGAAAAGGAAAAGGAAAGGGAAAGGGAAAGGGAAAGGGAAGGAAAAGGAAAAGGAAAAGGAAAAGGAAAAGGAAAAGGAAAAGGAAAAGGAAAAGGAAAAGGAAAAGGAAAAGGAAAAGGAAAAGGAAAAGGAGGGACCCAGATCCAGCACCTTGTGCTAAGTTCTCAGAACTTAACCCCTTCAAGCTCCTTTGAGCATATCTAAGATGAACTTCTGTCTCCCAAAACCACTATTAAGTCACCTGATCACTCAAATTTGTGACACAGTAAAAGGGGCAGCTACAGCAAAAAGATTGCTGCAGCCGTGTCACAGATAGTCAGTCATTTCCAGCATTAAGCAATGGTGCAGAGAGTTGCAGAAATTAGGAAGTTGCTTGAGGCAACAACTCCAGACGCAGCTGCATCAGATTTTATCATAGGAAGGCCAGGTTATTTGCCAGTGCCTTACAATTGAAATTTGGAGTGTTGCACCTGACCCTGACACTGCAACAAAGCAACAATCTCTAATTGTACTTTCCCTTTCCTTCCAGCCTGATCTTCTGGAATATTTTACTTTTGTAACTGACCTATTAAAGGTGCAATAAATATTTAATAATTAGATAGGTATGCTCAGTGTTGTGCAGCCACCACCATAAGTCATGGAGCAAACACGCTTCTCTCTCCCAAGATGATGTACTACTGATGTAATTATCCAATCTTTTGAACACTTGGCATAGTACGTCTGCTTAAAAGATTATAGGAGAAGCTGAGGGAAAAAAAAAAACAACAAAAAACAACCAACCAACAAAAAACAACAAGGATCTTGGCCACAGTTCATGTCCAAGGGGAGCATATTGGTTAACCAAGCACTTCCTCTCCAAAGCC